GTAACTGGTGGGGGTGGGGGAGATACAGAGGTCAGTAACTGGTGGGGGTGGGGGAGATACAGAGGTCAGTAACTGGTGGGGGTGGGGGAGATACAGAGGTCAGTAACTGGTGGGGTGGGTGGGGGGGAGATACAGAGGTCAGTAGCCAGATCAGAGTTCAGTAGGGGGTTGGAGATACAGAGGTCAGTTCACAGTCAGATAAAACAAGAATAGTTTCTTCTGTATAGTAATTTTTTCTTGTGTAACATTTTGCCTTATTTGTTTTAGACTCCAAGAAGAAAACAGAAGACTTCTTCAGGAGAGAGCTGAAAACCAGCAAGTTATCCAACTCTTGGAGATGCAGAAAAATATTCTATCTAAAACAGTAAGTTATTTACCATGAATATTTAGCTTGTGAAATAACCATTTTATATAAAGAGAGACAGACAGAGTTTTCTGTTTCCAATAATATAATGCATGTGCTTTCCTCATAGTGCATAACATAGAAATATAGATATTTCTGGATATACATGTATACAGCAACAGCAATAAACAAACATTCTTTTTTTAGTGAACCATGATTTTCATTTAATTTCCAAATTCTTATACAAAGTATTTGATGATTATCACAGGGAGATTTGTTAATTTTCCTTTTCAGATTCACACTTATTAGTTTCTTTTCTGCTTTCTTTTTAATTAAAATCTACTTTTTGTTTATAGCTCACCTAGCCTCACTTTTGTCTTTTATAATTTTGTGCTTATTTTTTCATTTACTTATGTTTAAAGAGTATGACAAAAATGCTAGAATTACACCCTCTGTCATAGAACTTTCCAATCTTGAACTCTGACCCCTGAACTTTTGACCTTCTATCTCTGTTATGCTTCTCTCTGTGGAGTACATGTAATTTGGCTGTAGACCCCCCAGTTATAGGTAGGTACTTGAGGTTGAACCGAACTTTTTTTTTCAAAATACCTTCATGAAGAATAAGTTTTGTAGTTTGTTAGTTTTTTTTCAGAAAATTTAGAAATCCATACTAGAATGATTAAAAGAAAATAACACATTTGAAAGAACATATTTTTTTGTTGATATTAGTCATTGACATGTTCACAATGTGGTTGGTGTTGCAGAGTGAGCCGTCCCTGGCTAAGGTGTATGATGGAGAACAACTGAAGACTAAAATTGATCATCTGGAGGCAGAAAACAAAACCATGAGGTAAGAGGCATATACAGTGTTAAATAGATATGATTATTCATAGAAGGTTGGATTTATTACACTGCATGATAATTCTGAAAGTAAAACTTTTGCTGGAGATGTGTATTTTGTAAAGGTGGGTTTGGATAATGCTAACAAGTATGTTTAATCATTTGACTTCTTGTTATTTTTGAGATTATCATATCATATAAAAAGGTGTCACTGCAATTCAAATTATAAACAAACTGTAGATGAATATCCAATGTATTCCTTTATTGTTTCTCTTCAGAAATAAAGTTCAAGATTTAGAAAAAGTTAGAGATGAGTTGATGGAGCAGATAAAAGATAATACAGTGAGTATTTCACAGTAGATCACTGGCACCAAACTTGGAAATGTTACCTGTAGACTACTTACAGACAAATGATTATAGAGCTGAAAGACTTTTGGATACATCTGCAAATCCAAAAATTTGAGTGTTGTATTTATGCTTTTGGAACATCATTATAGAGTTGCATGATCTTGATACTTGCATTTCTCAGAAATAGTAAGTCCTTGTATTTATAGGCATGTGCATGCATGCATGAATGTGTGTGTGTGTGTGTGTGTGTGTGTGTGTGTGTGTGTGTGTGTGTGTGTGTGTGTGTGTGTGTGTGTGTGAGGTTATTTATACACCTACAAAATATCTGAGTGTCTATGAACCACAGCAGACAAACTCAGTCACGAGGCTAGTTATTGTATTTCAGGAGCAGTCTCAGTTAAGAAACAGGAAAGATGAACTGGAGAAACAGAACCAGCAGCTCAGAGATGTCAACAACCTGGTGACAGAGCAGCTTACTAAACTGGAGAAAGAAAATACCTTCTTGAAGAAAATGATGGCAGAGAAAGAAAACATGATCCAGTTGGAGAAAGAAAGGTTAACACACACACACACACACACACACACACACACACACACATCACATTATTTATGTTTTCTATGTGTTTATTGATTCACATCAAGAGCTCCTCTTTTATGCTATGCGTCTGTCTCTCTTTCAGACTTTCAACTATACACTTTTAACATGTACAGTGTACAGTGTACATACTTTGATATTACAGATGAACATAATGAATTTGTATTGGACCTGAAAATAGTCTCTTTTCACTCAATTTAAAACAAATTTTCACATATTATTATCTCTTTTGTCTTTTGTATGTACAGTTCATGGTTTATGTAGAGATAAAGCAGCCAGTAATTCATGTAATTGCAGACTTCAGAGAGAAACTAGTACCTTGACCTCTGACCTCAGTCGTCTTCAGCAGCAATATGAGGAGTTAGAGAGCCGCCATCATCAGGTGCTATCCAGGTCTGGAACACCCTCCTCACCTAGGAAAGGTAAACAATCCTTCACATTAACCCTGGTTATATACTGTCTACAGTAGGCAAACTATAAGTATATATTATTTAAAATATATTTTTGCTGTGGCTATCATATTTTAAAATGTGTCAAATGAGAGAGGTGTGTCGGCACTTGTAAAGTTTATAAACAGTGCTATGAGAAAACGGAAGCTATCCAAAATGAGATGACACCTGGTATAATACTTTAACTTTATTATTACTATGTACATGTATTTAAACTTAAGTATATGATAACTAGTAGTGTAGAGAGCCTATAAATGTACACTCATTTCATGTGCTCAATAAATTATTATTATTATTATCAAAAGTAATTATTTCTATATATTATTTAGGTGACCTTGTATAGACTTGATTAACAGAAACTACTTTTGTCTATAAATCCAATTTTAGCAATTTTTATCAAAGATTCAAGAGAAAATAAATTGTATCTTCTATGGTATGCCCACTGGCAGGCATTAGTTCATCCAACAACTTGACCATGTATTTCAGAGACTCCTGCAGAGCTGTCAGTATGGCAGGAAGAGAAGAGTGTCCTGGAGGGTCAGGTGGCCATGTTACAGAGTCAGCTGATACTGCTGGAGAACTGTAAACAGAGAGCAGAGGACCAGGCTGCCAGACTGGAGAAACAGGCAGAGGAGGCCAGGCTGTCTCAGGAGTAAGGCAACTAGGGTTAGGGTATGGGTTAGGGTGAGGGTTAAGGCAGCTAGACTGGAGAAACGGGCAGAGGAGGCCAGGCTGTCTCAGGAGTAAGGCTACTAGGGTTAGGGTATGGGTTAGGGTGAGGGTTAAGGCAGCTAGACTGGAGAAACAGGCAGAGAAGGCCAGGGTGTCTCTGGTGTAAGACTGTCAGATAGGGGAGATACTATATGTGTTATTGAAGAAAAGTAATTACAGTTTTTGTAAACAAATAAAGTAAAAAGGGAAAATGTAAGTCTGATCTGTAATGCACTAGGATGAGGGGGTCAGTTCACCGCCTTAGGATAAGAATAACACAAAAAGTTCAGATGTCCAGCTTCGTATATGAAAATAGCATTCAGAAACTGTCTGTGTCATGCCAGTATATATGTTGCAGTGAGGCGGCAGATGCCCAGACAAGACTGGAGGTGGTGAAGCAGCAGCTGGAGAAACTCAGAACTGAACTCCAACAATCAAAGAATGTGCAGACCAAACAAGAGGCTCTCATCAAGTCACTGAAAGAGGTACTCATCTTGTACTAGAATGTTTAATTTTTAAAGCCTGGTTAGATTAATTTCATTAATTGATAATGTACATGTACACTATGTTAAGATTTTGCCATTAATTTCATTCTCTAAGATGTGGGTATGAAATGGAGAATCCATAGAACAGAGCCATAGACGTGATGCTGGCCATAATTTTGAACATATTATGAAATGCATTTTAAGGCCATGATTGAGTTATTTTGTATCAAGAATATTTTGCTTTGTGGAAGTAGAAATAAAATCGCACAGGTGTGTAGTACGTAGTTGACTGATCAAATAAGGAAATATTTTTCACCCATTTGTATTTTGTCAATTTGTATGTGTGAAAAGGTTAAAAAGAAAAGAAAACTTGTGCCCTCGGTGGTTGTGTTGTGAAAAACTGTAACACTTGTAATATTGTAGAATTCATGTAGTGGGTGTTGCTTGTCCTGCCCTAACACAAAGCCTGGTTTGTCTTATAATCACCCAAACTTGACACAAAAATATATCATTTACCATCCTTCATTTTTCACTCAGTGGTTTTCAGGGTACATGAAAACCATTAGAGAAAGCTGATCAGCCTCACCAATATTAAAAACAAGTTTTGGATGTGTACTAACTTAATGCTTTTGTTAACTTAACCCTTCATCTTAGGAACTGGAAGATGAAAGGCACAAGGCATCTGTCCCATCACGTAAACTTCATGTAGGTTTTTGATGTAGATTGCAGCACCGGTTGTGTAGTAGCTTCTCACCTAACACACTCAGTTTGATTGCGTGCATCTCACCTAACACACTCAGTTTGATAGTCTGTGTGCGTCTCATCTTTGTTGATTGTGTGTGTCTCACCTAACACAATAAGCCTGTATTTCACTGCTTTCACTGCCTGTGTGTCTCTCCTAATACACTGAGGATAGCATCTTGCACATTGTTAGAAGTGTGCAACATTAATTTTCTATTTCATTTATGTTTTTATGTACAGACACAGATGTGTCTGTACATATAGCCATCATCTGCGTNACACACACACACACACACACACACACACACACACACACACACACACATACACACACGCACACACACATCACATTATTTATGTTTTCTATGTGTTTATTTATTCACATCAAGAGCTCCTCTTTTATGCTATGCGTCTGTCTCTCTTTCAGACTTTCAACTATACACTTTTAACATGTACAGTGTACAGTGTACATACTTTGATATTACAGATGAACATAATGAATTTGTATTGGACCTGAAAATAGTCTCTTTTCACTCAATTTAAAACAAATCTTCACGTATTATTATCTCTTTTGTCTTTTGTATGTACAGTTCATGGTTTATGTAGAGATAAAGCAGCCAGTAATTCATGTAATTGCAGACTTCAGAGAGAGACCAGTACCTTGACCTCTGACCTCAGTCGTCTTCAGCAGCAATATGAGGAGTTAGAGAGCCGCCATCATCAGGTGCTATCCAGGTCTGGAACACCCTCCTCACCTAGGAAAGGTAAACAATCCTTCACATTAACCCTGCTTATATACTGTCTACAGTAGGCAAACTATAAGTATATATTACTATATATATTTTTGCTGTGGCTATCATGTTTTAAAATGTGTCAAATGAGAGAGGTGTGTCCGCACTTGTAAAGTTTATAAACAGTGCTATGAGAAAACGGAAGCTATCCAAATTGAGATAGATAACACCTGGTATTATACTTTAACTTTATTATTACTATGTACATGTATTTAAACTTAAGTATATTATAATTAGTAGTGTAGAGAGCCTTTAAATGTACACTCATTTCATGTGCTCAATAAATTATTATTATTATTATTAAAAGTAATTATTTCTATATATTATTTAGGTGACCTTGTATAGACTTGATTAACAGAAACTACTTTTGTCTATAAATCCAATTTTAGCAATTTTTATCAAAGATTCAAGAGAAAATAAATTGTATCATCTATGGTAGGCCCACTGGCAGGCATTAGTTCATCCAACAACTTGACCATGTATTTCAGAGACTCCTGCAGAGCTGTCAGTGTGGCAGGAAGAGAAGAGTGTCCTGGAGGGTCAGGTGGCCATGTTACAGAGTCAGCTGATACTGCTGGAGAACTGTAAACAGAGAGCAGAGGACCAGGCTGCCAGACTGGAGAAACAGGCAGAGGAGGCCAGGCTGTCTCAGGAGTAAGACTACTAGGGTTAGGGTATGGGTTAGGGTGAGGGTTAAGGCAGCCAGACTGGAGAAACAGGCAGAGGAGGCCAGGCTGTCTCAGGAGTAAGGCTACTAGGGTTAGGGTATGGGTTAGGGTGAGGGTTAAGGCAGCTAGACTGGAGAAACAGGCAGAGAAGGCCAGGGTGTCTCTGGTGTAAGACTGTCAGATAGGGGAGATACTATATGTGTTATTGAAGAAAAGTAATTACAGTTTTTGTAAACAAATAAAGTAAAAAGGGAAAATGTAAGTCTGATCTGTAATGCACTAGGATGAGGGGGTCAGTTCACCGCCTTAGGATAAGAATAACACAAAAAGTTCAGATGTCCAGCTTCGTATATGAAAATAGCATTCAGAAACTGTCTGTGTCATGCCAGTATATATGTTGCAGTGAGGCGGCAGATGCCCAGACAAGACTGGAGGTGGTGAAGCAGCAGCTGGAGAAACTCAGAACTGAACTCCAACAATCAAAGAATGTGCAGACCAAACAAGAGGCTCTCATCAAGTCACTGAAAGAGGTACTCATCTTGTACTAGAATGTTTAATTTTTAAAGCCTGGTTAGATTAATTTCATTAATTGATAATGAACATGTACACTATGTTAAGATTTTGCCATTAATTTCATTCTCTAATATGTGGGTATGAAATGGAGAATCCATAGAACAGAGCCATAGACGTGATGCTGACCATAATTTTGAACATTATGACATGCATTTTAAGGCCATGATTGAGTTATTTTGTATCAAGAATATTTTGCTTTGTGGAAGTAGAAATAAAATCGCACAGGTGTGTAGTATGTAGTTGACTGGTCAAATTAGGAAATATTTTTCACCCATTTGTATTTTGTCAATTTGTATGTGTGAAAAGGTTAAAAAGAAAAGAAAACTTGTGCCCTTTGTGGTTGTGTTGTGAAAAACTGTAACACTTGTAATATTGTAGAATTCATGTAGTGGGTGTTGCTTGTCCTGCCCTAACACAAAGCCTGGTTTGTCTTATAATCACCCAAACTTGACACAAAAATATATCATTTACCATCCTTCATTTTTCACTCAATGGTTTTCAGGGTACATGATAACCATGAGAGAAAGCTGATCAACCTCACCAATATTAAAACAAGTTTTGGATGTGTACTAACTTAATGCTTTTGTTAACTTAACCCTTCATCTTAGGAACTGGAAGATGAAAGGCACAAGGCATCTGTCCCATCACGTAAACTTCATGTAGGTTTTTGATGTAGATTGCAGCACTGGTTGTGTAGTAGCTTCTCACCTAACACACTCAGTTTGATAGTCTGTGTGCGTCTCATCTTTGTTGATTGTGTGTGTCTCACCTAACACAATTAGCCTGCATTTCACTGCTTTCACTGCCTGTGTGTCTCTCCTAATACACTGAGGATAGCATCTTGCACATTGTTAGAAGTGTGCAACATTAATTTTCTATTTCATTTATGTTATTTCTTTGAATTAAATGATTTTTATTACAAACTTTTCTTTGCTTGATGTTCTACTGAGGCTGTAATTTTCTTATCAGGATTTAAAACAAGAAAAGTTGAAGAAGTCTTCAAACTTGAGAGTAAGCTCAGTGTTGTGGTTTTAGTGCCATGTTGCATAAAAATTGTATGGCTAATGCTTTTGGTGTTCTCAAGTTAACAGTGTTTCTGTGTAATTTTATTGATGTTATATATGATATACAATTAACTCTACTAATTATATGTTCTGTCTCCCATCATTTGAGTTTTTATGTGCACACATATATTTGCGATGTTTGAGACAATAAATCACAAAATGTTTTATTATTTAAAAAAAAAACCATGCCTTTAGCAGTATAAAAAATTGTTGTGTGGTTACGTAAGTNATCGTATAACTTCGTATAATGTATGCTATACGAAGTTATTACGTTGGGGGGTGTATAATATATTTATATACAAATATAAAGTAAAGAATATAAAGTTCAAATCCTGTCATCCGTTATTTGAATATTTCTCATTGTGATGATGTAACTCGAGGATAGAGAATATTAAATGTCCTAGAATCAAAGATAATGACCTGATTTTATTGACATTGCTAACTTGCTGTTTCTCCTCACTGGAATTTTGATAGTATTTTTGTCCACCTTTTATTGAGAACACAAGGCACCAAAATAGTTGATGTGTGTGAAGTGTGGGCACTAAAGGAGTTATTTTTGTTAGCTTTTGTTCACTTTCACTTTCACTTTTCACTTTCCATCTCACTTTGGGTATGATTTGTTTTCTCATTGTATGATCTTTCTATATTCAGTTTACCTATCTTTACTAAACAACAGGGAATGCAATAATGTATGATACAGTTATTAATGATGCTATTTTTGTAGTTATTCTAAGTCCAGATTCCTAAAAGTTGGTTTCTAATATGTGCTGTACTCAGTGTTATTGTCGTTATAAAACTTCAGCGTTCACTAGACGATGTCGGTGCTGAGTTGATCCACATGAGGTCAGAACTACAGAAACTGTTAGAGGTGATTCAGATGAAGGACCAGGAGATTGAACACTTGGAGAAACAACTGAAGACAGCCAGGAACCAGAATGCAGCTCTCAGGTTAGACAGATATGGAAAGATAATTCAGTGTTGTATAGTGTAATGAAAATAATCTGGAAGTGGACTTTAAATGCTCTTAAACAGGGGAAAGAAAATGTTTAGATAAATGTGCAGTAAAAATGAGTATTTTAAATTTTCCAACCATTTAAAAACTAAAAAAAAACAACACAATTTCAAATAACAAATGAACAATATAACAACAAGAACTAAGCAAGTTAATCTGAGGCAATCCCTGTGTTTTCAGGAAAGAGAAGTCTCTGTCAGGAGAGAGTGATGCCAGCCCTGCTAAGATAGAAGACATTGGTAAACAACTGAAGGACGCTAAACAGAACACTGCTAACAGGTCAGTATCCAGATCTGGGGGATACAGCTGGTTGCCATGGCAGCAGTTAAGATAATTGTGTAGATCTGCATGTATAATATAAGAAAATTAATAAGTAAAAATTTAAAATGTGCTGCCTTTGAGATATAGCTGCCTACAGGGTAGAATTGTATCTCTTTAGAATAAATTAAGTATTAATTTTACCTATTTAGAGAGAAGATAATTGAAGGACTGAAGAAAGAGATTGCCTCTATGAAGACTGTTTCTCCCACTGGGGCCTCTGCCAAAGCTATGGAGGATAAAGTTTTATGGTAAATATCATTCTTTGTATGTTTTCATTAGTTTGTTTTAGAAAAAATGTGTTTTAGAACCTAGATTATCTTTATTTCCATCACCTTTTTTCCATTATTTAAACTGTTGTCCTTTTTCAGCTTGTTCTGGTTCCTTTAAATACTTATCTGAAATTTCGTGATTTGTTTAGATTTTTTATATTTCATTTAGAATTATATAAAATACTTTCATTACTTTATGCTAAATGTTTATTTATTTACTTTTATTATTATCAGTATTATTGTTCACAACCAAGAAAATATTTTCTTCTATTATTTTCCCTCTCTTTATAAAAAGCTATTAAATAAAAGGATATTATATCCTAGTGTACTGAGAGGTTAGTTCAGGTGTGGTAAAACCTGTTGACCTCCCAGGTGAGATATATCTCTCTACACACCTTCCTGTAACTCTGAACTTTCTCAATTCCAGCTAAGTCACATTCCATGTATATTGTTCACTGTTTCATTAGTAAGTCAAAAAGAAAGCTTTTGTTTGTCAGTTGACATAATATAATATAACCTGCACCTCTGTTGATATGCATGATATTGGAATATTGGCAAAGCACCTGTAGCACGCTGTTGTAGCACTAACCTCATCTACTGATCTATACTGGGACATGGTCTGGACTAGTTTATATTATAATAGCTAGATACTTCAGAAACTGTATGTAATAATGTCTGTTCTGTACCCCACACCTTGCTGTGCATGAAGACTGTCAGCACCCATGTTATCTGTATATGGTGAGGATGGAAGAAGTAAGACTGGCATATCAATTACCCTTCTATGTACAAATAAAGCATGCTCTGAAAAATGATACTCTATAGTAATTTGTTAAGCTATCTTGGTAAATACTCTGTAGGAAATTGGAATCACGTGTTGCAAATTTTACAAAAAAATTGGAATCAAGTTGTAAAATTTAGTAAAAAAACATTAACAAGTTGANTCTAAAAGTTGTGAGAACAGAGCCCAAGACTGCAGTGTATCATCATTATACTGTTTGGTGCCATACACTGCTTGGTTTGAATATATCATTACAATGTACAGTACTAGAATTCATCTCTTTTTGCTTATTATTTTATAACATTGAAATTTGATTTCTATGGCAAAAACGCTCTTTGTAATTGGTTTGTTTTTAAATTATACTATTTTTTAGGATTTGCTAATGGCAAATAAATAATGACAGATAAATAATTCAAAAGTTAAGTTGTAGCCTTTAGCTGCTGTGTTAACATTTTTTTTTTATTTCATCCAGTTTACAGAAAGAAAAAGGAGACTTGTTACAGCAGCTCACTGATTCCAATTGCAAAGTTCAAGGTAAATTATTCTAACAACCACATAGCAAAATAAATAACTTTGGAAACAGCACAATTCATAAATACATGTACTATTAGTCAAAGCATTAGTATTAATAGAAGTAGTAGTAGCAGTTAAGTTTTTTGGGTATAGTAAATATAAAATTAATCTGCCATCAAAAATAGTTTTCACCCCTTTCTGACTTTAATATTCTCATTAACCCATAGTTGTTAGTATATACCTTTGTTTTATATGTTAAGTGTATGTACATTGTCTTGGAATTGTATTTCAGACTTACATAAACAGCTCTGTGTAGTTAGAGAAGAAAAGAAGTCAGTTTTAGAACAGGCCAACAACTTAGAAACACAGCTTAATAGGATCAAAAAAGAGAAAGACTCAGCCACTGGAGATGTGGCTAAACTCAAAGAACAGCTCAGTGAATTAAGCCATCAAAATAGTGTAGTTTTAGAAGAACAAGTGTCTCAGCTTCGCTCCAGTCTAGATGAAAAGTGTCAGTTGAATGATCTCCAGATAGACCAGATAGAAATATATAAGACACATATTGAAGATTTGGAATCTGATCTTTATAATGCCAAGATTGAGAATGAAAAATTAATCAGAGGTGAGTGAACCAGTTTGTTTATAATGCAATTAATATTTTTATGAAAACACATGTATAAAAACCTCACAGAAAATTGCTATCGTCTCCTAAATTTTGATAAAAGCTATTATTTTTATGAGAAAACATACGGTTTTATTCTACTGTTGATTTTTTTTTTTTTTTTTTGATGTTTCAGAATTAGAGCAGTATGTGTGTGCAGAAGTGCATGATGGACCCAGAAAGACACACCCTGAAAACACAGGGTCAGGAGAGAGACACCCTGAAAACACGGGGTCGGGGCAGATACACCCTGAAAACACGGGGTCGGGACAGATACACCCTGAAAACACGGGGTCAGTACAGACACACCCTGAAAACACGGGGTCAGGGCAGACACACCTTGAAAACACGGGGTCAGGACAGACACACCCTGAAAACATGGGGTCAGGACAGACAAGCCCTGAAGACCAAGACACTTTCGAAAACCAAGGTATTGCGTCTTCTTCAAATCTGGAAGCAGTTGATGTCTCCCAGGCAGAAGCACACAGTATCAACCCAGACTCTCTGGGAGACGGAGCTTTACATGAATTGCAAACTGACAGATTGAATGTAACCTCACTACCTTCCACTATGCAAAACTTCACTTCTGAAAACTCATCCAAAGAGGAACCAACCACTGTCTCTGAAAGTCCGCCGAAGAAGAATAACCTCCTTACCTCCCTATATGGAGGAAGTCTGGAAACTGTAAACCAGGCAAAAAAGTCGACTCAAGATAGTGAAGAAATCTTGAGGGTTTCAGGAAGGCAGACAAGGTTTGGAAGACCTCTAACACCAGAGGGCAGCAAGATTCCAAAGCCTGTGTCACCAAGAAGAGACCCACTCTCTTCCCACAAAGCTGCAAATGGCAGCTTTCCCAGGTAATATTACTTTCAACCAGGCTATTGATTAAAAAATACTGAAAAAATACTGAAAGCAGTCTAAGAATAAATCGGTTTCAACTGATGGATATCCCCTTCATTTGGGAGATACTGAGATGAGTTTGGTAACAAATTCATGTTTGTTTGTCATAAACATTTTTTCATAACAACACAGCCAAGTAGTGATGCTGATGTGACATCTTCTTTAGTTTACACCGACATCACCAGGTGTCACTGATGGTGACCGTCCCTCATCTCACACCTGGGGTTCTGTGAGATCATTATACCTGTTTTAGAGAAAGTATCTTGTCCCTATTTAATGATACAACAACAATGTGAACAACACCTAGTGATAACAGTGCAGACAGTAGAAGATGTAAGACCCCATTCCCACAGATTTTAGATCGATCTATCCCCATAGTTAGTCTCACGAGATTACTGTCAGGTTAACCGGCTTAAATGTCTGTCCCGCCTTCTAAAAGCTGTAAGGGGGTAATTAACTTCCGTGTGCGCTCGGCTAACAGCAATTAAGCGTGAACCCCCAAGGAGTTAGGTCAATCCAGATTGATCGATCTAATTAGTGGGAATGCAGTCTAAGATTGATACATAATCAAATCTCTCAGTACAAAGTGCCAAAAAACATTTGCTTCCAATATCTGTTGAAACTATTTTACATTTGAGACGAATTTTCTTCTGTTTTCACCCCCTCTCCTTTGCTGCCATTTAGGCCATTTTCCAGCACTGCATACAAGAGAGGGTTGCTGATCTGCCAACAGCATGGTTCCCTTCAGGCCTACTAGCTCCATCTGTCTATTTGTATTTTCAGATCTGGTTCTTTGCCAAGCCTTGGCCCCCAGGCCTCATCAAAACTGCCAATCAAGTCCGTGAGTCTCTCAAAAACCAAGAAGAAGAAGGCAGCAACAGCAGCAGGGAAAGGCAGCCCGTCTGGGTCCTCTCCTGCCCCAAAGTCTTAACCCATGGGATATAAAAGAAAAAATTGGCTGAAGCCTCCGGGATAACCTCTGGCCTCTGTTTATAATACATTATTATTACTGCAACATCTGTCATTTTTGCGATTAGAATTCCATTTGGACATTGATATGTACGTTTTGTTGTTCATTGTGCTACAGATAAAATTAAAATTATAAGACATCATCAGCTCATTAGCTGTAGACCAAACCATGTTACTCATAAATAATTCACATGGAGCATTTATATTTTTGCTGAGTGTGAATGCTGTCATTATGTTCCATTATGTTCCAGTCTGTAGCAGGCATCTGATGTGAAAGTGTAGTCACCATGAAGTGTAACTGATGGGTTACATGGACATTTATAGGGTATTCATATTACCAATAGATATTTAATGGTGCCAAATACCATGTTCTTGGTTATGGGACATTACAAAAATTCCTGAAATGTTTTGTGCCTTTGATTGAGTCTTACCAGCTGTAGATTTCTAATTTTAATACCCTGTGTGTGTGCAAAAATATTGGGTCCCAAATCTTAGGGTTAGTGTTTTAAAACATTTGAGTTTATATTATCATAGCAATATCTTATTTTATATTTTAGTGTTATTTACACGTGTACTTGTTGATTGTGCAGTATGAGCAAATCTTGCCAACAGTTTGCCTTTATTAGCCCTATATTTAAAATGAAGGCATGGAAAATGTATGGAATACTAAACAAAATGTACATAACTATTGAGAATTCTGATCTTCCTCTTTCGTCAAATGTCACATTTCTACTTAAAGGAGGCAATGTGTATATTATCATGTAAAAGAAGCCGACATCCGTCCACTTTTCACATAATCAAAATAAAATACATGTTCCAGCAATAAGTGGTGCTCTACCATATGACTTCTGGGTCAACAGTAGATCAAGTTGTTGTGTCATGTGTGCACATTAAGCATGTCTTACTCATGCTCATCTATGTAATTATATTTGTATCCACATAAAGACTGTTTTATAGTTTTTGTAAAAAGCATATTAGATAATATAAAGCTGTGCCACTTCATAAGAGATAATAATAATAAACTGCTGATGTAAAATGGCACTGTTCATATGTAATTGTGAAGTATTTCTGATGTAAACTTAAGACACACTGCTCACACATGGTATTATGTGTATATTTATTATTTAATACAGGGTTGTTTTCTCATGGAACCCAAAGATATTTTATCTGTAATGCAAGTTGTTGCTCTTGTACACTGGTATATGGTGTTGTTATTTGAGCATTTTATTATACATTATGCAAAATTACTAAAACTAGCTAGAGAGGATTGTGTTTTCTTGTAACTTGTTTATATTATTTTTTCATAACACATATATTTGTTTTTCATATATACACTTTAATGTAAGCCAAAGTTTCCATCCAAAATTACAGTGATACAGAATTACACATTAGAAATTCTTTTTAGACATATAGCTCTAAGAAACATTGTATTGTTGCCTTTATTGCAAAACTATGTAATAAACTTGAGTTATCAGGCAATTATATTTAATAAAATTATTGTTTTGTTTCATTCTTTTTATATACAGACCCTGTAAATGGTTGTATATATTCTGATTGGTCTTACTGTCTGAGTTGCATTGTCTGTATTTTTGTTTTACTTTAAATTTACTGAGTGGCTTTGTTTGTTAAAGAGGCAGGTTGCTTACGAAAATCAGCATGATCAATTTAAATGTACGGTAATTATTATTTTAAAGCATTGTGTAACAGTGCATCAAAACTGACCAAAGATTTTAGAACACTTTTTGCTGTGTAATGTCTGAACATTTGGCAGCTTTGCTGCCTTGTTTCCAATATGGTGTCTTTATAATTGTAAGCTTTGCTGTCTAGTTTTTTTTTTAATTTGGAGATCTTATGTAGATATACTAGATCTAAAGTTATTGTTTGAATTAGATTGTACCCATCATTTTTGCTGGTAAAAAATTCATTAGAGTTATGCAGTTATTCATTAGAGTTATGCAGTTATCCTGACCCTCCTCTTCAATTTTCCGAAAAATCACACCAATAGTACCTTCTCGAAATTAGAATTTAGCTGAATCGTAGTTCTAAACCGTACCAAACGGCACCATGTGCCCTCTAAAATATCAAAAATTCTCGGGGGCCATTTAGCGGGCCCCGAACCCCACGCCAAGGGGGAGGGGGAGAGGTCGTATTCGCACCCGCGGACCCCCCCCCCCCCCTTTCAAATAATCCTGGATCCGCCTCTGTAGCAGCTAAAAAGTTGGTAAAAGACGTCTTGAATACAATATTTATCAGCCAGAGATGACCTAGTGAAGAGGATAGGTGTACTACTGGGTGAAAAGCTTGGAAAGCGACATGTGTTCATGAAATTCATTTAATGTGAGGATTAAATGTTTTTGAAATAGCATTTAAACATTTAAGTCTGCATACTGCGCGTACTACAATATGTCTATAAAGTGACTTGACTGCAGCAGCGAGCCAGCAACATGCAGGTGAGAAACATGTCTTTTCATTTAAATGACCAGTATCTGACCACCAGGGATATTGTACTGTATTTGAAAATTAAATTATCATTATGTGGGGTTCACTGATGAACTCGAAATCGACGAGAAATGGTGAACTTGATGACAGACTCAATAGTAATGCACGGGCCCAAACTACAGATGCCAAGATAGGGAACGTCGACACTCTTGATACGAACTTAGTAGTGTACTTGGGACGAAATCTATCCATTTGTATGTCCTATCTTGTCGAAAATAAAAATTAGATGGACATCACTTTCCCTTATCTGACCCCCTGACTGCAGTTCATCACGATGGCTTCATGACAATCCTCACGACGTCTAAGACATTGAAATACATGTACGTATATCTTTGCTGGCAAGATACTTTGCGTGAGGTATGCCCATTATTGCTGTTTTAATGGGTAAATAAGATAAAGATTGTCTCAGATGTTGTCGTTATAGCCTTATGATTTTTAAATGATCTGTCTTAGAATACATGCATATACACAGTATATAGGCCTATTATTTAGTTTTATGAATGAATTTTGCAAGTAGTCGGTTCAAACTTTATTGTTAGAACGTGTTTCACCCTTTGCAGGTGGTTAGACTGAAGATGACTTGGTGGACATTTTGCGTCCCCGTTTTATTGTTTTGGGTGACATTTGTCACATGTCAACAGTGTCAAAGACAACAGTTTGGCAGCATAGATGGCGACATAATTTTGGGGGCTACGTTTAACATACACGCGCAGGCGGCGGGTGCAGAGGGTTGCTCTGAGAAAGTGAACGCGGACGCTGTTCAGAGATTAGAGGCCGCACATTTTGCAGTGCAGAAGCTGAATGAAGATAAATTTTTACCTGGTGTTACCTTTGGTAAGTACTACATTTTTAATTAGAAATCTATCTGAGTTTAATCAATATTTATCCGCTACACCCCCTATCATGAGAATATGAAAATTAATGAAACGGGGGGGGGGGGGGGTAATAACCGCCCATTTCCCCACAATTCTCTCTCTCTTTCTTTCTTAATTGATAAAAACATGCAGTAATGACCAGAGAATTAAACACATTGACCTTAGTCCACAATGACGTCTAGTCCACAACGACCTCTAGTCAACAACGACGTCACGTCCTGTCCATGTTTCTCAGGTATTCGTTCCTACGATGACTGCGGCCGTCCCGATGTGGCTGTACATCGCGCCGTGGACTTCCTGGCTGAGAGGGAAAAGTACGCTGACGACTCGGGAAGTATCTGCCCAGCAAATGTAATGTTTCCAGGTATTATGTCTTGTGTTTTAATTGTTATTATTATTTCATAAACACAATGATAGACTGCCTTTTAACCAAACATCCTCGTTGGTATACTGGCGACTGCTGACAGTTGGTTTGCTTACAGAAAGTTATCAACTTAAAAAATAAGACGCACAACTTATATCTTGGCAGGAAACAAACACAAATATATATTATTGATATGAAATTTCTACATTCCAAGTAATATAAGTTCTCATGTTTTAACATGTATTTGGTGGTATTCCAAGAGTTGTTCCATATTCTAAACTGTCAGATATTGAAAGGGCCAATAATTTGCCATCATTAAATATTAAAGAAGTCAAAATCAGCCTGATGCGTTTGTGAACGCTAGAGTTTCAAATCAGCCATTGTTTAAAACAGACAGCACTGGGGTTCAACTGCATTTTAAAGTTAAAAGTAACGCAATGACTATTTAACACCCTCAAAAAATTCTTAAATACCAAATCAAGGAAATAGATTAATTGATTATTAAAACTCTCCCTGTTTTAGGAATGTTATCTGCCCTATACAGCGGTGTGACGGCCCGGGTGGCTCAGTTTCTGAACTATATCCCTATGCCTACAGTCAGTTACGCCTCTCACAGTCTGGAGCTCAGTGACACCAACAAGTTCCCTTATTTCCAGAGACTGGTGCCAAGCGCCACCTCTGCTGTAAAGGTGGGTGTTACTTTTTATAAATCTAACTTCTAATTCTTCTTATTCTTCTTATTCTTATGGACAAAACCGTTTTTCTTTTTTTCTGCCAGTTTGTTTCTTGCAGTTAGGTCTAAAATGAACACCAATTTCTTTCCCGTAAAAACAGGTTCTGATATCAATCCTACAAGAACTTGGATGGACACATGTATCTGTTCTTGTTGGAAGCGACCCTTATGCTCAGGATCTGAAATCCGAATTTCTCCGCTTGACGTCAGTGAATGACATCTGTGTGGTGGCGCTGCAGTCGGTGAATAACGAAGATCGTGACGTCGACTTCGACCCTCACATCAAAGAATTTGCATTTGCTGCGTCCAAAGGTTTGTGAACAGTAATTTCTATGTTTGGTAAGATTAAGTGGATTGTGCACTCTAGGACGATTTGACACATTTATCAGGTAATGGTGTCACTGCATTTTGATAATTGCGATATTACATTTATACAGATATTCTGATATCTGATATTCGATGTTCTTATATACTGCATATGCGTTTTTTTTTTCATACTTCGAAACAATTTTATGTTGTTTTCAGCAAACAAGCAATTGACCCACATTAATAATTACGCTCGTCTTTTGTTTCCAGGAGCACGCGGTGTTGTCACCATGGTAATTCCAGAAATATTGCTCCGTTTTTTCCAAGCTGTTAACGCTGCCCGGGCGTCCGTGCCGGTGGTGACTGAGTTACAGTGGGTCTCGGGGCTGCCGTTCCACTACGAGCCAGCATACGACCAATTGAAACACATCATTCGCGGCATGATCAGCTTCAATGAATATTCTGCTCACATCACGGAATTCAGAAACTATTTTACCTCTCTCACCCCAGAAAACAATTTGGCGGATCCATATTTTGGCCAATACTGGGAGCAGGTGGGCCATTTCCACGTTTTCTGTCTTGTTAATGTATCTCAATGTTTTTATCATTCACTATAGACTATGTTTTGGGAGACTGGGCTAGAGGGCACAACATATACAGCTAGAGGTTTGAAGAACGGATTAAGGCACTTTTGGAATCGTATTTGCCATGCGGTGAACAGTACCTTTTCATGGCACTTTTACTCATGGTTTCTCTGTCTGTATCCATGTTCTTTTTATTTCATCATTTCAGCTGTATGGCTGTACGTTAGGACGCAGCTGCAATGCCTCACATGTGACATCACACGTCAACAATTATCGACAGTTATCTTTTATCTCCGAGACCATCGCCGCCGTCTACACCTTTGCCCACGCGGTGCGTAAAGCCCACAGCGCCCTCTGTAACAGCTCCGCGCTATGCGGCGACTTGATCCATCTACCTGCTGAGAACATGATGAGATATCTACGAGAGGTAGAATTTGTTCATTTAGACAATAGAACCATTGCTTTCAAGGACAACGGAGAAGTGAAACACGCCATGTACGGAGTGAAGAATGCACAGCTGACAGATAATGTGTTGGTATTTAACGAGGTAATACTTGCTTTCTTTTTATATATATATTTATGTTTTTCATAATTCAAATGTACGCATATGATTTTGATTTATTATTCATGTTCAGTTATGGCCATTCAGCTAAATATGCGAACCCATTCTCATATACATGCATTGGGCGTATTACCTTCTTGTGAAATAATTTTTGTCAAAAATGCAGGTAGGGACTTGGGTGGATGGAAAACTGTCCTTAAGTAGCCCCATAGAAATGTACGATAGAAATGGAACTCGAACACCAAGCTACGTTACGTCTAGCTGCTCAGATAGTTGCGAATGTAAGAATAAACAACTGGACAATAGGTAATTAATGATATTCATAGCGTTTATTGTCATGTTTAAATCAATTCTAATTGCATTTTTGCTACCGTAAGTAGGCGTAAATATTTTCTCATTTTAAATTCTCCTTCACCAAATGGTGGTTTAGAAAGCATATACGTGTAAGATTCCGTTTTGTAAATTGCAACTTCTCGTAAATCCTACCGATGGAAAATGACATCAACGTGTCTGCCCGATTCAATGTCACTTATACTATTATAGTTCATATAGATATAAATTTAAATCATGTTTCATATTAAAAGTTCATTCCTTCAGGTTCTCACGTCTTGACGGCGGTGATGTTGTACTGGTGGGGATATTTGACGCTCACCTGGAAGGAGACGAAGTCAAGGAATGCAGTGACATTGTAGACAAGCTAGGAATGCTAGGAGAGACTGAAGCATTTTTCTATGGACTAGACCTTGTCAACCAGGACCCCAGCGTTCTGCCTAACGTGACCCTAGGTGGCATTGTTTTAGACAACTGTAACGTCAACGCTGATAGGTTATCAAGGCAGATCACTAGTATTTTACTGGAGGAAGTAAGCGTCGCTGGCGCCAATGTAGACGCGGTCCCAATGCTTGGTGCTGTTTCTGGTATCTCCAGTACAGGTGCCATGCACGTGCAAAGATTCCTTGAGGTGTATAAACTACCTCAGATAAGTCACAGGTCGTCCAGTCCACTCCTGAGTGATAAGGCAAGATTCCCCCACTTTCTGAGAATGATAGCGTCCGATGTTGCACAGGTAGATGCTATGATAGACATTATGAAGGCTATGAACTGGACTTATGTCATCACCGTGTTTTCTGATAACGCTTATGGTCGAGCTGGAATGAGACAGTTTCTACGAAAAGCGGAGAAGGAAGGCCTTTGTGTAGCAACACAGATTATGATTGAGAACTACTTTCCCTCAGACGATGCAGTCATGGAAAATGTTGTTCAGTACATGATTGCTGGCGTTTTCCCAAATGCTAAAGTTGTTGCCATGTTTGTGACAGCCAGTCACGCCAGAGCAATTTTACAGGCCAGAAATCGTCTGCTTGGAAACACGTCAAACGAAATCATTTGGCTTGCCGCGGACGCGTGGGGACTAGCGGGACGTCCTGTGAGTGGCCTAGACTCTGTTGCCAGGGGAGCAATAACCCTTGATTTTCACTCCCAAACTTTGCCTGCTTTTGGACGCTATCTGACATCTCTTACGCCAGAAACTAACAAAAGAAATATTTGGTTTGAGGAATTATGGGAACAGCATTTTGGATGCTATCTTAGAGACAGTAGTAAGTACTCCAAACGCTGTTCTGAAGACCTGTCCCTGAGTCACTCGGATGTTGCCCCCTTTCAGTCCCATGCCGCCAATGTAGTAGACGGCGTGTATGTGTATGCAAGAAGTCTCCAAAACCTGATAAAAGATTTTTGTCCTGAGACACCCTTGGAGTTATGCAGGAAGGCGAGGAACAACCTCGATAAAGTGTACGAATACATAACGCGATTGGATTTCGAGGGAAGCGGCGGGACACGAGTGGCCTTCGATAGACTGGGGGACGGCGTTCCACGGTATGGCATCTACAACTTTCAGAGGTTACACGACAATAGCTATGGGTACGTTAAGGTGAGTGCATTTCATGTTTAATTGTTGAGAATTTTTGGTGGAAAGAAAGTAATTATTTCTTTTATTGTTAAGACAATTTTCAAATTATTATTTTTATTTTTGTTATAAAGTTGTGCAGTTTTCAAATGTGTATCTCCATCTTTGACTAGGTTGGTACATGGACGGAAGGTGTTTTGAACTTAGAAAAACAGAATCTTTATTATTACGCCATTAACGACACTGCCACCAAAACTGCAGAAGCTGTCACTTCTTCGTGTCTGAACCCGCCGTGCAAGTGCTCCACCGAGGAAATAATGGATATGCCATTCCATGAGCAATACCGCGACTTCACACTCCTGGGCTACTTCCCGCTGCACGCGTACCAGTCATTTGATGACACTTGCGGTGCTCTTCGACCCGAAATGTACCAGCAACTTTTGGCGTTCTATTTTGCCATAGATCAAATCAACAAGAACTCCACCATCCTCGGCGATTCTGTTTTGGGTTTTATGGTTTGGGATACGTGTTCTAATTCCAAACATGGCGAATTTGTGTTTGAAGCATTTGATTTGAACCTGCGCTTATTCAACCAGCCCCCGGACCCGCCCATTCTCACCAATGTCATGGCTATGATTGGAGGATATTTTGATGACGTCACTGCCGCCATCAGTAAAGCCAATCAGAGAGGATACCATTTGGTTCAGGTAAGAGACCCACGTAATTTAAGAGTTGACTTATCGTAAAAACAACTAAAGAGTGTAATGTATTTTTTTAACGAGTTGTGTCATTTTTTTAAGTAATGTTTTTTCGTTTTTGATTTTGAAGATTAGTCCTGGAGCTACATCCCCCGTGTTCAATAACAAAACCAACCACCCAAGGTTTTTAAGGACTGCCAGAACTAACACAGGGCAACTAGAGTTATTGACATCACTTGTGAAAGAAATCAGAAGAAGTGTCATTTCAATTGTGTACTCTAATGCAAGTGCGGACGAGGAGACCGTGGAATCACTCATAGCTCTACTGGAGGGTCAAGGTATTTGCACAGTGGGCGTGAGAAAACTGCCAGATTCAGAGGGTGAATATGACGGCGTAATTAAGGAACTTTGCAGCGTCCACGGTTTGACGGCAGTTATTATCTTTGCCAGTGAATCTGAGACTCTTCAGCTGCTTCTTGCCGGGAAGCGCCAGGGCTCTGCAGGAAAACTGATGTGGATAAGCGGGAACCCGTGGAGAGCGGGTGTGGTGGACGGAGTGGAGGATGTCGTCCGAGGTAGTTTTACCTTGCAGCCGGACTATCCTACAGATTCGAGATTCGACACATTTTTGGAACGTTTGACGGCAGACAGTTTTCCCAATGACCCGTGGTATAGAGAGTTTTGGGAGGACCATTTCGAGTGCGGTCTTGAGTTTGGCGGTAAATACGATGTGGTGTGTAGAGGAACGGAGTCTTTTAGTGAGAGACCACTGCCCCAGCACTTCTATACCTCAAATACCATTAATGCTGTGTACGCGTATGCTTTAGGGGTGACATATCTTTACCTGAGAAAGTGCGGAAAAGTCAATGTATCTGGATGTTTTGATGAGGTTCCAGGCGATGATGGAAGTATTGGAGAACTCCTTGAAGAGATAAGCAAAGTCAGCTTCTCTGGAGCTGCTGGTCAGCCGTTCTCGTTTACAGAAGAGAACAACGGTCTGGAACGCTACAAGGTGTTAAACTACCAGGGAGATGCTGGGTTTGTAGAGGTAGGCGGCACGTGCTTAGGCACGTACTTAGGATCGGTTCTTGAATGGCCGCGGAAAAGAGTTGTATTCAAAATACAACGCTTCATCAATGCGAAAATATTGTACTTAAATATCCCCAACAACTTTAAAGGAATATCATCATTGATAATATATAGTAAACTGTTCTACCAGTGCAACCTTATATATTTTTATGGCTTGATATTAGTTAACGGCAGCATCTGTAAGAATGAAGATTGATTCATGTGAAGTCAAATATTTCAGGTCGGTCACTGGAAGGACGGCAGGCTCTCGCTAGACCTACAGGCCATCAAGCTGTACGATGCCCAGGGTAACGTCATGGATTTGCCGTCACAGCGCCGCATGTCTCTACCCTGCTTCTGGTACAATATGTTTAATCTACCGTGGCATATCTACTGAAGTAGCCGATGATATTAGGCGGGTACATTTATTATTATATATTTATTTTTAGGTCAAAACTAATGCTTCTTAATGTTCCTTAATAATATATTTGGCTTTTTAGATGACAATGATTTAACTTCTTTATATACATGTTTATTTATACATTCTACTATTGGACCTTTTTTCACTTTTATCAACTGAGATATATTCATTTTAGGTCTTGTTACTCCGAAGAAGCAACTCCCGTTTTCGAGAAGAGCAACTATTTACTAACACACTCAATAGTATCAGTGGTATTAACAGTTAATCTTCGTTGTTGCGGTATGGCTTGGGGGAGGGGGTGGTTCTAAAATCATTTCCATGCTTATATGGGCACTATCAGAACGCCTGTAGTGGCTTTGAACAAGATGTCCTTAATTTGGGGGTTATCTGGATATCTATTATTCTGATATTTCCAGGTATGTAAAATATAATTTGCACTATACATATATGACAAAGTTCGTAACTTTGAAGCTCAATATTTTTAATTTCCTGTTTTCTTTTATAAACGCATAACCTGCACAGCACAACTTTCTTGTAAATCGTCTTATACTTGTTAAAGATGAGGGGCCATCTTGGCGTTAACCGATGTGTACAGAGATCATGCGTCAGTGGCATCCTGTGTCACTTGTTCCATGTTTGATTTGTGCACAAGTGGTGTCCTATATTAGAATATTTTATGCAGAGATGTGACTGCAGAAATTGTTGAACTACTGTAGTTTGGACTAGTAAGTGCATAAATACGGTTAAGCCTGGGTCACACTGCGCTTGCAACCTTTTGGCAAACTCTTTGCAACCTCAGTCGCAAGAAGGTTGCCATAGGTTTTAAAGTGGTCGCATAAGGTTGCTAACAGGTCGCCTGCGATCGTTGACACATGAAGGCCATTTTTTGTGCACCGACAACCAGTGCGACTAAAGATGAAAATTATCGGTATCCTAAAGGTTGCCTATCGGTCTCTTCTTGGTTGTCAGTAGGTTGCTATAACCAGCAGCATACCATTTGCAACTGCATGGTCGATTGACCGTATTTAGTCGACTGGTCGCTTACAAGTTTTTTACCAGTCGCAAGTAGTCGGCAGCAGGTCGCTAGAAGGTTGCAGTTGTAACTGCATGGTCGATTGACGGTCTTAAGTATCTTGGTCGCTAACAGGTTTTTTACCGATCGCAGGCGTTCGAAAATAAGTAGCAGGAAGGTTGCAAGCGACTGCAAAATAAATAGGCGTAGGATGGTGGTCTATTTGGGCAAAGACTTTTTTCATAATTTGTTATGTAAGCCTTCTAGATATCAAGGTCATAAATTATAATATTTTAGAAAAAGAAAACACAAATTGCATTTGTTGGCAATATTTTATACCAATTGCCAAGGCTTTCATATACCAGGTATTTCACACTTACGAAACAAAAAAAAATGTGGTGATAAAAGCAATGTACGATTTTTTGACGTTTATTTATTTTATCATTTTACGAAAATCATAGGTAAAATGCCGAAAATTATATATCGCTGTATGTTATTTAAAATTTGCAAAGCCATATTATCAAAGTAAATAATGAAACAAATACACGAATGCAGAGAAAACGGAAAATAAAAGCAATTTAATCAGCAAGGTATAACTGCTATTTAATATCATAATTTCAACAATCAAATTATCCACAAATAAATGAACAAATCGTAAAATGTGTCCAATAGACTTAAATAAAAATAGTTTCAACACAAACAATTAAACATCTTCCCAGTGCTTGGTATCCTCACTACAAGGATGAGAGTGTAAAAAGTACACGATGCGCATGACTTGTCACGATTTAATTACGTTGTATTGTAAGTGGCAAACGCCTAGGGTCAAAAAGACAAAGGGGAAACCACACATTCGGTTGCAAATCAGTTGCAAACCAGTCGGCAACCTGTTGGCAACCGGTTGGATACCACAAGTAGGTTTTTCGGTCGCCAGGAGGTTATCGGTGCTGCACCGAAAACTGGCGCAACCGGATATTAACCCAGCGTTCATTTGGAAACCACTTTGCGAGTTGTTGCAACCGTTCACCGACCTTTTTGCAACCGGTGACAGTTGCAAGTCGCAAAGAGTTTTTTTCTTCAGTGTGACCGTAACTGCACAGGCCTTGCGACCTCAAAGAGACCAAGTATTTAACCAAGAAAATATTAAAGAGTATTATGAGATTAATAAGGATTAAAACGTATGCAAGTTTATGTTTTTATTACAGCACTGGTTCCGTTAGGTAAGGGTGTAGTCTTTTCAAAAGTTCACAAAACATTGTTGCTTCTATTTTTAGGAAGGAAATGAAAACTTCCTGATTTTCAAGTCGATGTTCTTTCATCAAATGTTTGTACTCGTTTTACTTCTTAGGTAAACAAAGTCAATGATTATAGCAGTCCCGTCTTTCTGAAAAGGAATTTATGTGAAAGCAGCTACTGTCACAAGTTGGCAACATATATATTCTGTGCGACCTTGCTGCTACCAGTTGACAAGCGATTGCTACAGTCCTGCAACCGGTTTTCGGTCACCAAGTGGTTGCAGACAGGTTGTGTATCGCTCGGCAAACAGTGTGCGACTAGTTACCTATAAATTGAAGATGGTCTATAAGAGGTTGCAGATACCATACTGCAACCTTGTTGCAACCGGTTTGCGACTGCTTGCCGATCAAAATTGGCCACAGCTTCTTAATTAGCTTGCAAAGTGATCGCAAGCGACCGCCAGATTTTGTGGTTGCAAAAAGGTTGCAAAAAGGTCGCAAGCGCAGTGTGACCCGGCCTTTAATGGCTATGGCCTGCACTAAATGTCTCAATACAACATTTAAACATGGTTTGCAGACACCGTGACCAACTTAAACGCAGCAGAGATGTATTAAAATGTTTTGGTAGATTGCTTCAACAATGTACATGTATGTTAGGTATGGCAGCGGTTTACTTTGCAAAAAATTGGGAACATCTGCCATGGACGAATGTCTCGCGACTAAGCATAAAAACAAATATGATTACACGGGATATGGAGGAGAGTGGGCTTAGAAATAATGGCAGACTAGCGGGTGCGGTGCAGCAACGACTAAAAGCTAATATGATTTATCCAGGGATATTTTCTCTTAATTTTTGTCGAATTATAGTCTATGGATCAACGTGTTTAGTATTATTATATAATAAATACATCCCCGGTGCACTTTTAACCATATCACTGAAAAATAAACTTCATATAACGCGGATTTTCTAGTACTGTATGACGTCATGAAGTACCACCAGTCTCGTAAGAGGCCTTCTTGGACGACCCCATTTGACCAACCGATCGTTTGCTTCCTAAGTCTTTCCTTTAAATGTCATCCACTTTATGCCGAGTCTAAGGTGCTGCTAACATACATGTTAATAATATGCTTTGGCAGGAGATTGTCCCTTTGGTACAGAAAGGATTCGAGGTGATGACAATGTTAGTTGAACGCAGGTGTTCCTTTCCCTTGCAAGTTTATCTGACACGTAATGTGAAATGAAATTATGCGCGCCTTTGTCAAAAGGAAACATTCTACTGTGCTAAGAAACAACATGACCTTCTTTAGACAAATTATTATATTCTCAAACACGTACGGCAATCTTAGGTTACACACATTCAGGGCGATTCACAGTGAAAATAATAACGTGCATTTGGTGTCTGTATATTTGTTTCCTTGCTCTACCAACAACATACAAAATGTATTTTCGTATAATAGAAATGCAATTGCAATTAGCATTATTGTCCCAAATAAACTCTGTCAATTATATTAGTAATAGGCTTGTACCTCTTTTAATTTTAACACGTTTCTTATTGTAAAAATAGTGCAAGTTGGGTCAGTAACGTGTAATTAAGATTAATTGACTAAGATGGGCAGTGAAGGTGTGTGAGTGTTTTAACGCTGTTATTTATTTCATAAATGAATAACTACATATTTTTAAGTTTCACATCTATTGACACGGTTGTTTGCAACACGGAATTGTATATGAAAATAGTACATCTTTTAGGGGCGAGGAGTTACTCTTGCAGCCCAGCCTGGAATAATAAATAAAATTAACTTTATTATATTAGTTAGTTATGGTTTAACTTGTTAGATATGATTGACCCTGAATTCACTTTCATTTTGTATTCCAAACCAAAACATTTGGTACATTTAATAATAGACAAAGCACATCTTTTTGTGTATTGTATTTTACTCAAACTGTCATCAAAGGGTCCGTTTCGTTTCTGAGTGACACTTCTTTTCATAAAATATTGTAATCTAAATGTGAATAGAGACTATATTAAACAGCTAACATAAAAGAGAGACAAACATACTTACGTGCTCTTTAATTAAAGCAATGGCAGGTATTACTGTTCCTACAGATGCCACCCTTTCTCTTCAAAGCAAAACATTTTGCCCAACAAGTTTTTGGTAGACACGACTTTTGCACTAAAAACAAACAAGACAAGTATCCTCAGCGTTATGTCATAATTGGCCTTACGAGAGAATAACAATGAAAAAAAATTTAAACTGCTGTAATGGTTGCTTTTCGTTATATATCATTATATTTAAAAGGTATTTTAAAATACAAAGAGAAAGGACGAATTAACATGCAATGTTATTGATATATTACGGAAAATAAATCAATTTATTTGAAATTTCGGTGACCCAACGTTATTTAATGTTCTCATTCAATACTTGTTCCAATATGTCAGATGAACCCACCTTCGTCATCAAAAGGCACCGTGTTGGGGTTTGGTCCTTGATCTATATATAAAACAAAATCAAGGAACACCGTCGTTAGCATATGAAACGTTCTTGCATTTAACTAAACACTTTATAATTTCTTAACCGGCAAATTTTACTAATCTGTAAACGATTACGAAAACTTGGACATTTTGTATGTTGAAAAACACGAAGGCCGTTATATAACGCACTTTATCTTCTAAGTTAATTAAGCTTATCTTACAACTTTGAGAAAGTCGTAATTTTCTTCCACTGTTTACCCC